AAAAAATCTGCAGACTGGCATCAGAGCTTCAGGAAACAAACTGCCAGACAAGTAAGAAGCCGGAGCTCTGCTGGTAAGAGTACATTTCCTCTTAGCATACAAAGGTGTTGAGCAGCCTGTTTAGAGACCACAGTTACACCACTGCCATTCTTGCCCTGCTCAGGCTGCCCAGAGAAAACAGCTCCCTGTAACTTTMCAGGGCTGGCTCATCCCTGCTATATACCGTACACCACCCAGACTTAAGCAGAGCTGGGTTACAAGGGTAACCTCCGACTGAGTACCACACCCTCTTCCCTGCCTACGTCTATGGCGGTTCCCTAACCTCATTCTGTCAGGCTGATGGGGACCAGCTTGCACGCGCAGTCACAAAGCCTTATTTGAAGCCAGATCACTTTCCCAAACGTCATTAGGGAGCAATGACCCAGGTGGTYATGCCGGCAGATTCAAGTGAAGGAAGGAAACACCACAGACCCAGAGCCAGTCCTCTTTCAGGCCAGCTCAGGTACAGCTAAGACTTTCCACCTGACTGCAACTACTGCCATGTGACACTTCTTGCTGGAACCTTGGCAGCATAACCAACACGTGCTCTGCTTCTCTCCTTTCTAAAACAAACACCAAAAATCCATTGACCTCATCTGTCTCTCTGACAGTTCTCATGAGTTTTGGGCCTAACTATAATACACTGTAAAGCCATTTTTAAAGCCTCTATTTTAAAAAGCAAGCTGACTTTTCTACGGAGAAAAAAATACCAACAGAGCCTTCCAACAGACAATGCCACAGCTCTTATTATAACAAAGTAAAGTCCAGCCTAATCTTCACTCCCTCTTTTGTAGTTTTTTTCTCCAATGTGCTTGCTTACTTCAGGACATATGCAAGTTTGAGGRTTTGCAGTTGTTATAGAGAGCAAGTGAGAGCACAGGACGTGCACCACAGCAGTTTTGAGCAGTCCTACCTGATCAAAGTACATGAAGGTGGCAAACCAGCTGTCATACTCAGGCATGTTCGGACAAGAACAGCGACAGCCAAAGCTTACACTTATTTACTAAAAAGAGCCAGTTTTCTTGGAGTAGAACATCACCTAATGAGTTCAGTGTTTGCCCACTGTCCCCTCTCTGAAATGAGACTCCATGAAGACTTGTGTTTATGCCACAGCTCCTTACCTAGCTGTGTGATCCTAATGACAGCAACGCCCTGTGGCATTTACAGAGCTGTTGATAATCAAGGTCAAATACCCGGCCTTGCTTGTGCTCAAATTTTTAAGCAAGTTTAACTACGCTGATTTGCCCTAGGCCCACCATCTGCCTGTGTCCTTTTCTGCATTTGGGTGTACTGTCTCCACAAGTGAAATTCAAACTAAGTGGGTAATAATGCTCTTACTTGCTGTAGAATCACACTGAGCATTTGGATCCCTCTACAAAACCTAACCAAGCAAGCAGCAGCACGTTGGCCTCTGTTGYCTTTGATGGACGCTTCTTGAGGAGTTCAGATGCCACTGTCAACCCCATCTCTAWTTTCCTGRCAGAGATGATAGCCTTGGTGGCTGRAGAAAATAGGTCTGCTCATTCTCACCACTACGTAAGACCAATAGGAGAGATTTGCAGGTTCATGACAAGGMAGGCACAGGCTCTGCCTGGTGTCAAAGGGGCAGCAACATCAGAACCAGTGTAGCCAGATGCGCTTAAAGCACATCTAAAATGTGCTAAAGTATTGCCTAAACTCTGAACTCACTCATCACTCCTGGGAGGTCACTGTTTGTTTCTACCCTGTGGCAGCAGTGAAGGCTTGAAGTTACAAAACTACCATCAACAGCATTAAGCATCCAAGGACTGTTTATTTTTCCAGATGACTCAGTATCCCCTTCTTAGCTAAGAATTATTCCTCAGCACGTTAAGATGTGACATGCATGTAAGAAATTTTGCATGACTGATTGTTTGGTATGAAGCATCATGGTAGCAACAGAGTAAACAGCGGGGATGTTTCCAATTAGCAGGACAGTTCAAGGTGGAGGGAAGAGAGGAATGCATCTGTGGCATGGGGTACAGCATTCAAGAGTGCAAGTGTGTTTGCAAAGTGAATCACAACTTCAGCTATTGTAACATGCCAGTTTCCTTTCTAGAAAGAAACTGCCATTAGTCTGGGTCTGTCTCTACCAGACCCAGTCTCAATTTGCCCCCTCTGTGGCTGTGAACTTCATCTCTCCTGCCCTCAGTTTTGCCATGTGCAGTTGCTAATTACTAAACAACTAAACTTCRATGGGCATAGAAGGCATTCACTCTGCTCCATGAACACCCTGAGCTGGTGCCAAAATTGAGGAGCTGCTATAAATCGGTGACAGCCATAGGCCCCTATGCCCCCAGCACTCTTCTCCTTCCCAGCAAACATTGCCTCACACCAGTCGGCCTTAAAAAGGCYCAGAGAAAGCTGCACTTAGAACATGCACAGGGATTGTATGCGACCCAASTTTGCTTCTGAAGATGGCTCTCCCCAGGTCATCAGATTTCTGTGCTCAGAGGTGTAGGGGAAGAGTAACCCCATAACCTTCAAGCACAGGAAAATCTGCAGGAATTCCCAGAAGTCTGCTGTCAGTACTGCCCTACTGATACAGGGAGGAGTGCACTCCACAATACCCTGGACAGGCAAAACACCACCACTTGCTTAGTATTTAYTCACTAATACACTCCTGACCAAGGATTTATCTTTGAAGGGACTTTTGGAGGTCATCTAGTCCAATCTTCTGCTCAAGCAGGATTAATTTCCAAGTTGCTCATGCTAGGTAAGAGCAGTATTTAAACAGACACTATCCTGAAATGAGAGGCTTAACATAAAGACAACTATTGATGTAACATGGACCACTCACAGGTACACCAAAGCAGCAATAAAGAACTGTGCAGAAGAATCTCTCCATTTCTACCCTGCTGCCCCTAATTTCTAGCAGTGGCTCTATCTCATGAAAACCAGTCACAGAGATACTTTGCCCCTCTCCAAATATCTGTTAAAAGTTAGCATAGACCTCAAACAAAAGGTCAAAGTAAGATTCACAAAAGGGTGAGGAATTTGTTACTCCAATATTCACTAAAATGACACTATTTCTACTATTTCTACTTCACTGAATTTCTTTTGAGCACGCAATAACCTTCTACTGCAAACACTCTTCTCGAGGGCCCTTCAGCCTTACCCCATTCAATGCAACAGATCGACATCAAATTCCAACACTGCACAACAAAGAAACTCTTSACCAGTTATAAACATCTGGAAGTTATTCACCTACAGCATCATTTTCAAGTGCTGTAGCTATCACCTTCACTGGTTTTCCTTGATATTAAAGAACTAACTTATATTTACTGCAATCTTGAGCAGCCTTTGAAAGGAGATATACAGAAAACTTCATCCCAAATAATAGAACTGAAAAATACAGAAAGTACATGTACAATGTTTTCATCAAACACATRAGCAGACCACCTCAGGGAACTGATACAAATCAAGGACATCTGCCAGATAAKCACAGGATTACATACCCACTTCGAATGAACATCACAACACACAGTACCAAGAACAGAAGCCCTGTGACCCCCCAACACACACCTCCATCACCTCCCTTATGCTGRCTTTAGTACTTACATAAATCAGTCACACTTTTCGGCTAGCTCAGTTTCCTCATTCAACTCAACCTGAAGGCACACGAACACTGGTGCAACAGAATGTGGCACCACACAAGACTAGGACTTCTTTCACTGCCGACCCAGACTTACGTGGTGACAGTATCTCCAAAGAAACACCAAGAGATCTGGAGAAGAAAAGGATCTCTTGTCATTTTCAGCAAAAAAAAAAAATTTCCTCACAGGAATGATCTGCATGAATCTACACTACTTATACAGCCATGGGAACACTGAAAAGGTCTGCATCTGAACACTCAAGAGGTCAGTGCAACAGCTCTGACCAAGTTCCTATGAGTGGTGTGCACCCTAAAAAACAGTCAAAGTACCATTCTTACCTTTCCTGTATTCTAGAGTAGATGTAATTTCAAAGAGTGCTGTTACCTAGCAATCCAGTATTACTTTCTTTGTTAATCACAAGTTTTAGAACTGACCCCTGCTCACTATATTCCTAAGATCTGTAACTCCATAATCATTCAGCTATTCCTTTTCTTTCTTTCTGTTAGTAACTCATCCACACAGTCAGGCCCCAGGGAATGCTGCAAAGCAAATGCYGAGGCCAACTATCCAAAGTCTGCTGTCAAAACCAAAGAAACYAGGTAAAAATATTCTTCACTTTTATAATAGTGACCTGATCTGCACAGTCAAACAGTGGGGACCTACATCACCTTYATTCTTTAAAAAGATCAAAACAGACATGCACCAGGCACCACAAAGATTTGAACTGCATCTGTCATCCATCATTAAAACACAGGAAATAAACCCAAGACAGTACACACAGTGCAAATGCCTMAACTCCTACTCTGTCACTGCAGGTCTATTAATAGACTGTCTGCCACAGTGAGCTACAAGAGCCAACTGTGAACTACGGGACTCAATCCATTCACAGCTCTCCTCATAAAGGAAACAATGTGATTAAGGGCTCTCTGTGTTAAAAATACACAAGATATTCATTACAAAGACATAATTGGTATTTTACATTAATGGCAGACAAAAAGGCCAGCATCCACAAAGAGGAATCAAGTCTTTTTAACTCTTTTTATGCACAGGATTAGCTATTAAACAGGATATTTACTGATCCAAGTTACCAACAGAAACTCATTACAGGTACATCTGTTAACAATTTTGAAGGAAAACACATTAGCCTCATTTTCTGGACCATGATCAGGAGTGGCAGGTAACAAAAGAGCTGCATATGTTTAAAATAAAACTTACTTTTGACATTTTAAGTATACAGGAGTCACAAATCTGAAGTACTTGTGATACTTGTGATACTGTTCTAATAGCCAAACACCTAAAATCATCCTGTAGATTCATATTCACAGCACTGTACTAAAATAGGGAGGGATCATTCCTAATACACCAGCAAAAATTTAAGCTATGGAGAGAACAACTATCTGTGCAAAGTCAAAGAAAATGAGCAGTAGAGGTGGATTAGCAACAGAAGTTCCCTCTGGTGGTGCTGTGGAGCTTGCGGTGAAGCTCAGAAAATTCACATGTAATTTCCTGTCCTGTCTCTGCCTCTTGGGAATTACATGTGAATTCAGAGAACTGCCCACACTCCCGTAATTTCACACTGCTATCACCTCTCAAACATACTTTTACTGGTTTTAGAAGCATTGCAGTCTCAAGAACAGGACAGTGGTGGAAAGCCACAAGATCAGGTTTGGTTTCCAGCCCCGACCTGGGTGGCTAGTCCCCAACCAGCAAGGTACAACCACAACCCAGATAGCAGAAACCACACCAGGGGAGCTGTGGCAAGAGGAACAACACAAACAACAAGGAAGAGAAGTTGTGCAGCTGCATCTCAACATCTCAACCATGAAAAAATGATCACAAACAACTGACCTAGGCTAATTATTCACAGAACAAAAAATAGTGTTCTGGGCTTTCCCGATGGGGCTGATACAAGACAAAGGATGCCTAACGCTGGAACTCAGGCTTAAGAGAAACCTGAACTGGAGACAAAGGCATGCTCGCGTTGCAAAGCAGTAGAGAAGTACCTGCAGCTTTGCTGACATAAAGCTGCACAGCTTTGCTTGCATATCACTCAGAAACTTCCATTGACTCAGTCTCTCTCCTTCCAAACAAACCCTCTCAGRCAAGCCTGGAGAACTCTAGAACCAGACAAGCCAACAGAACTCGACAAACATCTGTGTCCTGCTATTAAACAGGCTGGCCATCCACCTGTTTTTACTACAAAGATTAAGTTATTCATGCTTTTAGGAAATATGTCATGCTGTCTTCTCCCCCAATTGCCTCCCCTTACTCACTGGACCTTCCAAAGAGCTTTTTGGAGAATAACCAGGAAAGCACAGACGAGTGCCCACACTTCCCGAGTCCCCATGACAAACACAAGTAAATGCCACACTAGTCAGGACACAAGAATTTTTGTCTAACTTTGCTRTGTGACTACTCATACCCACACAAGCCTAATCCCAGCTGCACAGCTMCACACGAATTACAAGCAAAGAAACTCTGAACATGCAGGAACTTCGGAAGAGTGTTTTCCCTCTCCCCCAGGCCACACTGCGGAGGCCACAGTGGGAGCACAGGGTGCTGCTGCCCGTCAGCGAGGTGGCATGCTGCCAGTCACCCCACTGCAGTGCACAAGTGACACAAAGGCTCCGGCTCCCAGCTGCTTTCGCGCGATGTCACCACCTTCCGCCGATCTGCGTGCCACTCAAACTCGTCCCGCGCGTCTTCGGGGACAGCGTTTCTCCGTCCCTCTAGTGCAGTAGCCCATGCTCAGGGCTGATATGTTCCAAGCCCTGTGCAMAGAGCACTAGGGGCACCTGCAAGCGGCTCCTTCCAAGGGACGAGCGGCAAGGCCGGGACCCGGAACAGGGAGGGCCCGGCAAGCCCCGGCGCTCCAGGGTGCGCAAGCGAGCACGGCAGCGCTACAGCCCAGCGCCCGGGAACTGAGAGGGGCTGATGGCACCCCGAGTTGCTCGGCCATGGAGCTGGGTGAGGGCCCGGCGCCAGACTCGGGAAAAAGCCAGCACGCCGGCCGGGCGACGGGGCAAGGCGGGGTACCGGCCCTGCTGAGCGCTGTGGTACCGAGCTGAGCT